CGCAACGGACGCTCAGCCCCAAAAACCTCCCCCAGCGTCTGCCCCCCATGCCCTGAGTTGCAAAACACCTCCCGGCATCCCAAACACCGCGGGGAAAGCCCCAACACGGAGGAGACCCCGCTCCCGGCATGGTCAAGACCCTACTCCCGGCATGGTCACCGGTTATTATTTGCACTCAGTAATTTGGGGGCAGCGGGAACAAGATGTGCAGGAAAATGCGTGGCCGGTGGGACCGAACCTTATCCCTCCTTCCCCAGCCGTATCCCGCAGGAAAGGTCGCGGTGGGATGCGCTGGGGCCATCCCAACTGGGACCAGGTGGTGGGCAAAAGCACGAGGATGCTTCGCAGGTGGTTCCCGCACACACAACCGCGGCAGATTCGGCCTCAAACACCGCCGGACCCCAATTCCCCTGCCACAATTCGGCCATCGGGCTCCTCCTCGATGGCCGGCAGCGGGGCAGAAGCTGTCGGCATCTCTCGTGAACACCGCCCCCCCCCCCTGCCGTGGGGCTGTGCCGGCCCCGCTCAAGCGACATCCTCCGGTTCATCCTATTAATAGCAGTGCCCTCCGGGAGCCGCACCATCGGCTATAATAATAAAGCATATGATGTTTATTTCTGGACATAATGTTCCTCCTTTTGCAGCAGGCAGAGGCTGAGGCATGCCGCGTTGCCAAGGTTTTACCGGCCCCGGACTCTCCGTGCCACGGCAATGATTAACGCGGTGGTTGGCAGCGCATGCCCGCTGCTGGCCAGGGTTTGGGGGGGATGGGGATGCCCGCATGCCCCTTTCGCCTCCCGCATCCCGGGGCTGGAGGCAGGGAGAGGTTTCCTTGCCTTCGGATCGGCCACGTGCAGCGTTTGCATCCCAGAGAAGGAGCATAAACCTGGGAAAGGCGCTGCCGCAGCGGGGTTTCCCCCCGCAGCGGCGCGTGTCCTGCTCTGGCCGGGCACGGTTGGGAGGGCACCCAAGCTGCCACCCCGGCATGCTCCAGAAACTGCGCCCCCCCCCAAAAAAAAGTGCTTTTCTTTGCAAATCCCCGTGTGACACCGGGAGATGTCCCAAGCCGAGGGACCAGCCCCACAGCGCACACCCCAGAGACAGGGAAGAAGCAGTATCTTTGGGCTTTTTGGAGAACGGGCTCCATTTTCCAACTCCTGGTGAGACCACAGGCTCAACGTTTCCAAAACCTCCCCAAAAGTGAAGAAATCCCTCCTCCCCCCCTCTTCCTGTTTAGGCTGGGAGCAGCTGGAGGTCTCCCGGGACTTGATCCAGAGCATCCCAAATTCCCGTAGCCTCCTCCCATGGAGCCCACACCACCGTGGGGCAGAGCGGATGCTTCCAGTGGGATTTTCCCCGCTGCCGTCAGCAGCCACTGACACACCAGTTTTCAGCTCAAGCTTTTTATTCCTCCCCCCTCACCCCCAACTCCGGCCATGGAAAGGCTCCCCAGATCACTGGGTGCGCGCTCAGCCGGTGGGGACATCGGTGGGAGGAAAGGGACTTGGCCAAGCCATGAAACCCACTGATTTAGGGAATAAAACCAGTCTCTAGCTGCTCCTGTCGGGTATTTCCCAGGAAATATTAAGAACCCGAGGGGCCAGGGACCACTCGCCCCCCACACCTGACCCCCACGTCCCCTCTTTTGCCGCGTGCGTGAATTGGTGGCCCGACCTTAGGGCCACATTCGGGCCCGGGAACGCTCTTTCTCCAGCTTTGCTGGTGCAGAAAATCACCCCAAAGCGTCCCCGGGCTGGGGGGGAGGTGGCACTGGGTGATGGGCATCACCCATGGACCAAGCTGGGGCTGAGCGGCCGCCCGGCTCCTTCCTCCTGGGAAAGCTGTTTGCGAGCCTGGAAGCTGGGTTCCTGCCATGTTTCTGCTAAAAGTGGCCATTTTTGGCCATTTTTTTTTTTTTTTTGCAATTCAAAGGGAAATCAACACAAGCAAGGCCACCGGGAAGGGTGGACGGGGGAGCCCACAGTTCACCGTGCCTCAGTTTCCCCCACAGCCCAACCGCAGCCCATGTGTCCACGCACCCCTTGGGATGGATCCGCGCTTGTGGGACCAGGTCCGCGGCCACGTGTCCCAGCACGGGTGGGTGCTCCTGCGCTCCCCAGCACCCCACTCCCCACGCCGGTCGATCCCCGGATATGTTTTGGGGATCCCCCTGCTCCCAGCAAAGCCCACCATCAGCTTATGGGGTCCGCATCAAAGCCGGGTTTAGGGTCAGGGCACAGGGGTGGGGACAGACCCCACAGTAACTCACGGAAACACCAAATGGGGATGAGTTGCCCATCACTCCCCTCCACCCCGGGGGACTCCACGTCCCCCCCTGCCAGCCCCGTACCTGTCTCAGCAGCGTGCCCTCATCCAGGGCGTCCTGCCGCTGCTGCG